TTGTCTGTGTCCTGCTTTCCCAGCTTCACTATCAGCCCTTCAGGAAGCCCCATCTGTTCTTCCCCTGAATCCGTGTATTATTTGTGATCCATCAACAGCCTGTGCTACTTGTAATAGAGCATGATTTCATGTACTGCGTCATAGGTGCAAGGAATTCTCTCATTAACTCCATTTCATCGGGTGCTAGTTCTGTTTCGCGATTCTGCTATTTTCTCCCATACTGTCACTTCTGTCAGCTGCTGGGGATTCTTGTGCGTGCTCGTGTTTTACATACGATGTTAACTAAGAATTTGCTGTGACTCCTAATTGTTTCCCCCTTACAGCCTAACCACAGCGATTTTACAAAAGGGCTGGGAAGGCTACTGGAGAGAATATGCCAATGGTTTTTTGAATGGTAGTTTTTATTTTTTAAATATGCTCCCCACACTTTCACTGACTAAAAGAGAGGTGAAATTCAAATAGGCAAGTGGTAACTATTAGTAAAATGTACATGGTTGTTATATGCTTTACATTGAACCATTTCTCAATATTCCAAGAACCAAGAAGCTTTATACAGACCAGGACCAGATCTGTTCATTCTACGTTTTCAAGGTTCAGTCCATGCAAAACATGACCTCATATTTGAAATATACATTGCTTAAGTGGCTGGGAAGAAGTATAAGATGTATATGATAGACTCATTGGATGAATTTGCAGTCATTAGAAACCCTAAGAAAGCCACAACTTTAAACGTTGTCTGCTTCTGCACTGAAATCTGGAATTGGCCTTCTGGTCGGTTTCTACAGAGCAGTGTGTACACAGAGGGAGTTCACCTCCCACTCGGTCAGGACATGGATAGCATCACCTTGCAATTGTATGCAGCCACCAGCGTGTCAGCTTACACAGTAAGGCCGCTGGAGGTTGTGTGACATCTTTGGAACAACCTGAACCAAAAATAACAAATCAAAGTCCAAAATAGCCAACCATACTGTAGCTGGTCCTTGTCCTGCAGAAGTCACGACCAATTCACCTTGTTTGCTCTTACCAATCTAGATAAAGCTGTGGACTGGGGTGAAAAAAAAAAATGCTACAACCAAGCAGAAAAGAAGAGTGGTCCTCTCTAGTCCTGAAGGGGGTAGTCAATAAGTAGCATTAACTCCGAGCTTTTCGGCAGGAGAGCTTCAGCTGTCTTCAGAATTTCCAATTTGAATACCCCATCCTCAGAATTTGGACATTTAACCCATCCAGAAAGGACAAACAACCACAAAACTCCTAAGCAGCTTACAACTAGAAATGTATACGAACTTACGCCACCACCACTCTTATTTTAAGTCACTGTCTGACCCAGTGACAGATGTCATTCCTTAAGTACTTCACATAGCTCCTGGGTTCTATTTTTAAGTGAATGAAAGTATCATACACTAAGTGCTTCCAACAAAATTTCACCCTGTTGGTTTTATTTCTAATATTTTATTCTCTAAAGCTCTAGGTGGTCGATTTAACCATTGATTACTGCATTAAGTTGCCAACATTCCTGGTCTTTGATTAACTAAGTACTTCTGTGTAATACAAACTAGTATCATTTGAGAAAAAAATACTTATAGGTATGATGGAGGTTTCTAAAATTGAAAAAAAAAATGATCTCTGTCCAAATGCAGCCCACTGAAACGCCATCTAAGGATTACAGAGAGTCGGGTGGCATCTTTACAATAATGACCCACCAGCAACAAAGAAGGTTATCTGGGAGCTGGGAGGGGCCCTGGGTGTAGTTGATACTTGGAAGGCAAATTATTCCATTACTGTTGTTACTAAGCAGTTCTTCGGGTCCTTCCATCCGTTGTGGTGTGAATGGTTTCAGTGACCACGATCTTCTTACGTCTTCCTAACTGGGTGTCCTTAAGATGAAGTGAAATGGTATCCCAAAGCTTCATGGGAAAAAATAAAAACAAGAAAATAAGGAGCATACTTTGGAAGTAGATATAGCCCCTTGAGTTTATCCTGATGGATTTTCCATCTTTCTTCACATCAGATTAAATGCTAAAGCTTACACTTTTTGTAAGAGTTTGGAGATGGGCATTAAATCTGTTTACTTATTTAGTGATTTAAAGTAAGATACAAATGTTAATCATGCAAAATTAATTCTTGCACATTAGGCAAGATAAACAAATAGCTAAACTACTGAGTTGCTACCAAGGTAGCCGAACAGCCTGCCAAGGCCATGCCAGGGCATGACCCAGAAGAAAATGACAACTACTTGTGGGGCTTAAATTACAGATCCAGGATGACAAACAGCACTCTCCTTTGTCGTGTGGGTGGCAGACATCTCTAATCGATCCCTGATCTCTAACCAGAGTCGTCCTTACAGTCAGAGCCTGAACTCTGCCACCTGCCCCACGTAGACCAAGTAAGCCAACAACAAGAATGGTAAGCAGAGAAAGAAAGCGTATAATGTGGCCAGGATGGGAAGAGGAAGATTCAGTGAGCCCTCATGTCTGTGCTCAGGGTCCTCAGTGAGGTTTAGGGTTAAAGAGAAAGCCATAGGCATGCATAACCAAGCAGCCTTGTCCAGATGAGGTCCTGGTGGAATCATTGCCTGACTTCCAGTTTCTCCCAGAAGGCAGTCTGAGAATGTGCCAGAACTGTGTGGCAGCTCTTTCCAGAGATGAGCCCCCGTCTGGCTGCCCTTCCCTAGTTGTGAAATTCCCATGTCTTGGGGCCCTTTGTTTTAATAGTTTGATAAGTTAAAGGGAGGGTGCACATTTCTCCCTGGGAAGATTATCTTCGTTCCTGTCTGGATGCTCACTCTTGGTCTTCCCTCAGGCAGAGGAGACAGCCTCTCTAACTCAGTGTACCAAACCCTCTCATGCCAGCAGGAAGAAGGGCAGGCAGAGAGCAATACCCAAATTCCACTGTTGCTTAATCAGGAAAGCATCCATACTCCTAGGACACTTGTTTACGTCATCCAGACGGGGTCATGAGCCCTGCTTTAGAGGCAAATGGGGCCTGTCGGTGGAAAGGTGTTAACTGAGCTGGGTCAGTGAATAAGCTTGACTTTCAGATAATCTACAGAAACTGAGCTAGGCTTTAACTTTTAAAAAAGCAGTTAGCTCTTATTTAAAATAAGATTTATCTGGGCATCGTGGATTTTTCTTTCTAACTCTGACAATTCTAACCCGGGTGTGTTGCAATTCAAAACTGAGAGGTTTTAGAAGAGAAGGAAGGGGACACAAATATTGAGTACGGGAGGAACGACAGCTCCAACAGTGAATGCTATGTTTATTGCCATTTTCTAGATTCGGAAGCTGGGGCCTAGAGAAAGAGAGAGATTTAACTACTTTACACAGCTAATGAGAATAAACATGGGTTTGGATTCCAGAAGGCTAAACGGTGTCTTCTAACCAGTACATTCTTGGCCCATGGGACCTAAGAGGTGTTAGACATTCAAGAGCGCAGGTTAAGAGTTCTTTAACACAGTGCCCACACCATGAATGAAAAGGCCAAGAGGAGGTCAGACTGTCACCATGAAGGTCACATGTCTCTCTAGTTTGACCAGCAATGCTTCCTGTTAGCCTAGTGGTTCTCCACTTGAAAGAAAGTCTGGGAGATTTTGCCCCTTCAGAAGACATTGGTAATGATTATGTACTTCTGGTTATTAAAAAATGGAGAAGGAGTATTGTTGGTATCCAGAGGTTGATGCCGGAGGTGGGGCAAAATATTCTTCAATATAGATCATCCTTTATAGCAAAGAAAAGACTTCTGAAGGAAATGCTGAGAAGTAGTGAATTTCTCGAGTAGGCACCCAGATACAGAGTAGGACTGAGTCTCTCTCTCTCTCTCTCTCTCTCTCTCTCTCTCTCTCTCTCTCTGTGTGTGTGTGTGTGTGTGTGTAGGACTCACCTTTGCCACATGTCTTAGAGCAGAACCCACCACATGGTATTCCCTCTTAGAATTCTACACTGAACTTTGTCTTCAGTTAGGAGCGGGAATGAAGAATGCCAGGAGAAAGTGGTTAAGAGCCACGGAGACCTGGGCCCTCACAAGGGACTTTAGAATCTGTGCTTATGAAAGCAGTGCTTACTGCAGAATCATTATGGAACTATGTACCAAAGAACTTAACATTTAACTGTCTAATAAAGTTAAATATAAGTAGAAGTAATGCACTTAAAGACATTTATTGCATAAAGTCATATAGAAATTCTCTCTGTGATATTTTGTATCAGCCATATTATCCCTGCCCCACCCCCATAAGGTTGAGACACATACAAATTTAGGTTTATTTTTAATTCAAGAACAGCCTATGTCAGAGAAGGCTTATTGGTTCATGTTTGAGATTGATATACACAGTAATATTTTTCATAGATCATGTAAACTAAGAAACAACAGTTGCCCTATTCATGAATAAATGACTAATGAATGACAAAAGGCAGAGAGCCTGCTAGGAGCTGTGGTTCTAGCTGTTAAAAACATATCGTTGTTCAGAATCTGGGGCCTCGGAGTTTGAAGCTATTTTCTTTCTCCCCCAGAGTCTGATTACCTTGCTAGTCTGCTCCATGGTAACTTGTGATACCGCCCCAACAGAGACACTGGGCTAAAGATGTGCATCTCTTTTGAGATTCCTGGTACACGTCCAGCGCAAACCTTATTCCCCTTGAGACTATGCCAGACCAACTGTCAATGTCACGCCAGCAGTTTCTGAGGCGTCCATTGGACCGTTACGGCTACTCTGACAGTCTTCATGCATCTAATTTATGCATTGAACTCTACAAATTACCATGTGGTTATCAAGTTGCTCGTATTAACTGAAACCAGAAATTTAAATTTATCAACAACGTGAATTCCACGAAGCTCTTCCAAACGGGCCATTAGCCAAAGGGATATTAGTTACCAAAGGGGGCTCATTAGTGATTGGGCTCATTTCTAAAGTGGCCCCATGGCATTGTTCCCAAAGAAAAGAACCAGCCAGCCGAGATCACGGCTGTTGGGCACTACGGACTTACATATTCACTGTCTCCCTTTCACAGTCACAAATCTTCGTCCCCATTCCCAGTTGAAAGATGACCTCCAGTGTGAAACCTGATGAGGATCTGCTTGTTGATCTGCAAAACAGAAGTCGTGATGGTACCTACCTCACCACAAACCACGAGGATGAAACGGAGCATGGCAAGCTGAAGCTGACCTCAGGCGGACCTACGGCAGCTCTTACTTTTGTTGTGTTTATTAGTAAAATGACTCCCACATCACTAGCGCTTCTTACCATCATTATATTTAGTAGCAAAATGACTCCCAAGTCACTATGCCCCTCAGGATAGCATGTGACCTGCCAATAGCAGGAGCCACCATGTTTTCAGTTACTAGCATGCAATCTTAGGGGCGGCGCTAATGGACTTGGGCATACACGTGGATCTTTTTCTATTTCTCAACTTTAATTTATTGTCTCATTGCAAGAACTTTCTTCTTCAGCTCCCCCTAAAATTAAGAAAGATACACAAGCAATTTGTATCTATCTCCCCCTGTAAGGCATTCTTTGTTTGGGATTTCAGGAAAGTTATAATTATTTTAATGTGACACACTTGATAGCAGAAGATAAAGGACCCATTAGAGGAAGACCAGCCTGTAACCATTGGGCTGGGGGGGTAAACCCTATAATTGGCAAGTAGACTACCATGGTGTTTTTTTTTATTTATTTACTTACTTTTTTATTTATTTATTAAAGATTTCTGTCTCTTCCCCAACGCCGCCTCCCATTTCCCTCCCCTTCCCCCAATCAAGTCCCCCTCCCTCGTCAGCCCAAAGAGCCATCAGGGTTCCTGTGGGAAGTCCAAGGACCACCCACCTCCATCCAGGTCTAGTAAGGTGAGCATCCAAACTGCCTAGGCTCCCACAAAGCCAATACGTGCAGTAGGATCAAAACCCCATTGCCATTGTTCTTGAGTTCTCCGTAGTCCTCATTGTCTGCTAGACTACCATGTTAATAGCGTAAACTGCTCTCTGCTGACTGATCCTGGACAGATTCCACCAGTGTTCCCTGACGCTTGGCAAAAGGAAGCGGCTAACAAAAGCAATTGTCTTTTGTTGTTGTTTATTTCAGTATAAAAGACTGGACCTCAGCTCTCTATATCCCAGACAAGCATCCACCGCTGAGCTGTATTCTCAACTCTGTCTCTACAATTTGTTTATATTGAGATATAAACAGTTTTTAATTTTAATTATTATTATGTGTGTGTACACACACGGTGTGTGTGTGTGTGTGTGTGTGTGATATGTTGTGGAGAAATGGGCATACTTTTACATGCATGTGTAGGTCAAAGAAAAGCTTTCAGGGAGTCAGCTCTCATTCCACGTGGGACTCTGGGATCGAACTCAGGATGTCATGCTTGTACGGGCCCTGCAACATTGTTGAATAATTTATCCAGAAGCACCTTGAGTTCACTGTGTAGTCAGGCAGGCTGAGAACATGGGATCTTCCTGTTATAGGCTCTCTAGGAGCTAGGATCACCAACTCGTATATCAACTCAAACACAACATTCTTTCTTTGGGAAGATGTAGCAACATTGGATTTGCATGAAAATGTACACAGAAGTTACTTCTTCCAGAAAGTCCACCTGGACTCCAACCTGCTCAGGAGCTTAGTTGGTAGCCCATACCCAGTTCCTATGCTTTAGATACTCTTCTCATTGCTATGATAAAAGCAGGACAGGTTTAGTGTGGCTTCCAATTTAAAGGCACAGTGCATCACGGAGGAAGGTGTCTTACTTTTCTATTGCTGTGAAAAGACACCCATAACCAAGGCAACTTGTAAAAGAAAACATTTAATTGGGGGGCTTCTTTTCAGTTTCAGAGGGCACATTATCTTGTCCTGTTTTACAGTTACCTATCAACCTGACCTAGTCCTAGTATAGACCCAAAGTTGGAGATGATGGTATTCCCACTACCAACACATTGTAGGTATTCCGGGATAATTTATCTTTATTTTGTGTGTACGAGTTTTTGCAGGCATCTGTGTACATGTACCTTATGTGTGCAGTACTCCAAGAGTCCAGAAGAGGGCCCATGCTCAGAATGGAAGCTGGGTCCTCTGAAAGTGTAGTAAGTGCTCTGTTATCACCAAGCTCCAGCCCTGCTGGCTTAGCTGTTACCTCATAGAGCCTATAGTACTTTCTCCTGTTCATCAAAGAGGCTAGAGCTGGAGTGTGTGCTACAGTTGGAGGCTATCTGAACCAGGTGTGGTGGTGCTCTTCTGTAATTCCACTCAGGAAGCAGAATCAGGCAGATAACTTTGACCTGGTCTACATAGTGTGTTCCAGGCTAGCCAGGACTACATAGTGAGACCCTGTGTCTCAAAGAAAAATAGATATTTGAGATCCTCTAGCAATATAACATGCTGTCATTTGAAAAAGAGACAGAGAAAGAGAGAGAGAGAGAGAGAGAGAGAGAGAGAGAGAGAGAGAGAGAGAGAAGAGAGAGAGAGAGAAAGTGTACTAGATAGGAGTAAAAGATTAACAACAACAACAACAAAAACAAATAAATCAAACCCAAACCTTTAAATTGTGCTGGTGTCTGTCCCTCTGAGAGCTTCTGTGAGCTGGAAAATCTGAAGTCTGAGTGGAGAGGACGGCCACAAAACAAAGCAACACAACTGCTCCTATTCCAGAACTCAGAGTGCAGATGTGATTCGGCTCTCTTGACTTTAGTATGAGGAGTCAGGGAGTTTTGAATGAGAATTTACCTTGAGAAACCCTTCCTTCAAGAACTTATGCTAAGGAGCTGCTGCTGCTGTTGTTTTAAAATCAGATCCTGCTAGTCTATAGTTTCTGTTTGTTGTTGTTATTTGTTTGTTTAAATGAAACCAAATAGAATAGAACGTGATTGTCTCAGCATTCGGTAGACCGGAAGTCTGAAGTCTGGGGTTTGTTGGAATTGGTACTTTCTAAAAGCTCAAAAGAAATCCCTGCTTTGTGTCACTCTCCTGGTTTCTGGCCACTTCCCATGATCCTTGGCCCACAGGATCTGAGACCTGCATCACTCCTCATGTGGCCATTGTCCCTTTTGTGTTTGCCTCTGTTAACTTACAGTTTTATCCCATTTCAGAATCTCAGAAAGTTGATCATTGGATTTGGATGATGTTCCTTCTTTCTTGAAATGTGCCCCCAAGAAGAAAATTTCTTTTGAACACCTGTCCCATAGAATCTCAAGATGTGGCCTCATTTGGACATTAAAATTTTAGAAATTCAGTTTCATTACTGTAATCTGCTAGGTTGACTGACCACCAGGCCCTAGACATCTAGATGCCTCTGCCTCCCCAGTGCTGGGATTAAAAGCACATGCCACATGCCTAGGTGCTTGGGATCTAAATCATGTCTTCTTGTGTTTGCATGTCAAGGACTTCATTGACTGAATTCCCTTCCTACCTCCTCCCCATCCTTTTTTGAAACCTTGTATTGTAGCATCCAGCCTTTTGAAAAGCAGGGTAACCACTATGCCCAGTAGGTGATACCTGAAATCTAAAGCACACAGCCTAATGGAGGAAAAGTCTAGTGAGGGGTACTCTCTCTCCCCCCCCCTAACACACACACACACACACACACACACACACACTCTCTACAATAATTCTGAGGCTGGCAGTTGTATGAAGAGGCAGTGCTTGGGAAAGGATTTGTTTATTTGGGAGGAACCCGGAAAACCTCCCGAGGTCAGAAGGCTCTGAATTAGGTCCTAATGCCTCACTCCTCTATAATTTAAAAATGAATGCCTCAAACCCTCTCGAGGTGGCTAACAAGGTGAACCTAGAGACATCTGTCTGCATCTGCACACAGCCACGTTATTAGAAGAAATAACCGCTCACAACACATTCAATTTCCTGAGCTCCGAGGAGTGGGAAGGACGGATGTTTCCGCACCGGGCGAGCAGCATGATTACAGGTATTTTTGAAGGCCCCAGTTCACACGCTCGCAGTCATTTGCATTGCACCGCAAATGGAGGTAGATTGGTGGAGGCTGGGTTGTTGTTCTCCCGAGGAAGTAGTTTATGTTGCTGGTAGATGGAGATCTAAACATGACAAGTTACATTTGCCGGGTGGGCAGGCAGCACAAAGCGCTCAGAGCATTTCCTACGCTTAAGCTTTGGTGAAGCCAGTGCAAACTCACTCTGCCTTGAAACCTAAAATACTGAGCCAGTTTTCAATACCCTTTGCTATCTGTTACTCTATTAAAGTCATTTCCTGATCTGTGAAGACCACAAAAATGAGAGTCCCAACCCAGAAGATCCAGACCACTTTGAAACTGAAGCTCTGTTTACTAAACTGCCAGGTTGCCCGGGTGATAGGGCAAAGGATGGCATTGCCCAACAAAACAGAGGACATGCGTGAGACATGGACACACTCTATGGGCTCATCCTTGTTTGCCTCAGACTCAAACTTACCTGGGTATTCTTTGTTTTCGTCTGTTAAACGTGGCACCAGCAAACTCTACCACATGGACAGTAAAATTACAGCCTAGGGTAGAAAACACTGAGCCCAAATCATTTTTCCAAGTGATAGCTTGAGAACGGGAGGGGGGGGGAGAAGGGGGACTGTAGCTTAGTGTGTGGAGTGCCCCCCCACCCCCCCAGTAAAAGCAAATAAGCCAAATCTGGAGGTACATACTTATAATGCCATCACTCAGATAGGAGGTAGAGGAAGGGAGATTACAAATTCGAGGTCATTCTCTGCTACATATTAAGTTGGAGTTCAGTTTGGACCACGTAAGACTCCGTTTCCCTGTCTCTCTCTCTCTCTCTCTCTCTCTCTCTCTCTCTCTCTCTCTCTCTCTCTTTCTCTCTCTCCCTCTCTCTGTTCTCACCTCCCATATGTTAATGGGAAAAAGAGTTAAAACATAACCTTTTGGCATGTGGTTCAGCGCAGCAGCGCTAGCTCACATGCGTGAGGCCCTGGGTTCTACTCAGCACTGTGGTCCCTTTGATTCTCCAGTGTGGGTGATTTCCAGACGGCACTTGATGATGTGACCTGGTTTTTGTCAGCAAGTTTGAACATGTATCCTGGGCTCTCATTCTTATATCTAAAATGTGCACAGATGACACTTGGCCCGCTTGTTCAGTGTTACCACAGCCCCAGCCAGGGCCACGCCATTTGGTGTCTGAGGCAAAGGAGTAACCAGTCGTATCAATCCCGTCTTTATTTAAAATCTTTTTTGAGTTGTAGAATGTGTGTGTGTGTATGTATGTATGTATGTGTGTGTATATATAT